CTTCTGCCTCATTTGGGATTATTTGAATTTGTTTTAGTATTCCATTATAACTTAACCTGTTGAGGTTTCTTTTAAACTCTCTTTGTACAGTTTTTTTTTAGTGTTTTCTATAGGGATTACAATATATTTGCTTAACTTTTCACAGTCTAATAGAATAAATATTTTACCACTTCAAATACAATGTAGAAACTTGACCACCATATTCGTTCTTTTATCTTCCCCTAGGGCTTTATGTAATAGCTCATACATATTACATCAACATAGTTTGGAAGTCCCATCAGATAATGTTATGATTTTTACTTTCAAGAATCAAGCACATTTTAAAGAACTCAAGGACAAGAATATTCTGTTTGCCCAGGTATTTACTATTTCTGGTATCATTTCCCTTCTGTCTGAAGAACTTCCTGTGGCAGTTCTTTCAGAGCAGGTCTGCTGGCAATGCTTTCTCTCAGTTTCCCTCCTTTTGAGAATGTCTTTATTTTGCCTTCATTGATGAGAGGTATCTTCACTGGATATAGAATTCTGGGTTGACAGTTCATTTCTTTCAGCACTTGAAAAATGTGCCACTTCCTTCTGGGTTCCATGGCTTCTAATGAGAAATCCTCAATCATTGTTTCCCTGTAAGTAATGCATCATTTTCCTCTGGCTGCTTTCAAGATTTTTTTTATCTTAGGTTTTAGAAATTTAATTATGCATCTGAGCATGAATTCTTAAAAAATTTATTCTGTTTGGAATTTACTGAATTTCTTGAATCTGTAAATATTTGTCTTTTGCCAATTTGGGGAAGTTGTCAACCATCATTTTTTCATTTTTTTTTTTTTGTACCACACTCTTTCTCCTCTCCTTCTAGAAATCCAGTGCTACAAATGGTAGACCTTTTGGAATTATCTCTGAAGTCCCGGAAACTCTGTTCATTTTTAAAATTTTTTTTAATCCCTTTTATTGAGATTGGATCACTTCTATTCCTCTTTCTTCAAGTTCACTAACTCTCCTTTCTTCTCCATTCTGCTATTAAGCCTATCCAGTGAGTTTTGTATTATCAGTTATCAGTTCTAACATTCCCACTTGATTTTTTTTAATATCTTCTACTTCTCCTCTAAGACTTTCTATCTTTTCATTTATTCTTAGAGTGTGGCTATATTATTCTCTTTCAAGTCTTTGTCTAGTCATCCTAACATTTATCTTATTTTGGGGATTATTGTCTTTTCCCTCATGAGATACTGAGATTTGTCTGGCTCTTCATATGCCAAGTATGTAAATGTATCAAATGTCACTGAATTATTTACTTTAGAATGGTTAATTTTATATTATGTTAATTTTGCCTCAATAAAAATTTTAAATATCCTTTTTAAAGACGTGACAAAGTACTGATACATACCAAACATGGGCAAAACGTGAAAACATGCTAAGTGAAAGAGGCCAGACACAAAAGGCCACATATTGTATGCCTCCATTTATAGAAAATACCCAAAGTAGTCAAATCCACAGACACAGAAAGGAGGTTACTGGTTGCAGGGGCTGGGGGAAGGAAGGAATGGTACAGAGCTTCCTTTTGGAGTGATGAAAATGTTCTGAAACTAGACAGTGGTGACAGTTGCTCAAAACTGTGAATGTACTAAATGTCACTAAGGTAAATTATATGTGTATTTTATCTTAAAAATTTCAGGTTGATATGTCTAAGGCCAAGGTGCAATTCTTTTTTCATTTTTTCCTCTTTTTTATAGCCAAATACATGATTTGACAAAAAGAATTCCTCTTAGAATTAAAATTTTTTTGCTGCATTATGTTTTTTCTTACTTTTATTCTTTTTTAGCAAGTGTTTCTCATTGGTAATTTTGGTGTCATTACCTGCAAAAAAAAAGTCTTTTATTTGCCTTCCCACTTAATTGCTAGTTCCCTCCAAACTTTCTAATATCCAGGGTGACTTTTGATCTTTGGTTTTGTCTTCTTTTCAGGAACATCTTTGTGCTGTTTCTCTCCCTCTGAAAACTTTCAGCTTTTTCTCTTCTTAGCCCCAAGATAAGGTGGTGAGGATCCTTTTCCAGTAAACCTGCTCACCACTAGGTGGCCCCTTTCCATCAGAAGGCTAGCTTTTCTATAACTGAATGCTTTCCTATTGTATCTGGTTGTTTTCTTCCCTCTCTGTTCTTGCCTTCTGGGGTCCTTTTGAGATGGTTGTTGAACCTCTTGGATTTAGCCTGTCTTTCTTATTTCTTCTAAAATAGTCTTCTTGCCTTTTTGCTGTACTTTGTGGGAGATTTCAACTGTATTTTCCTGATCACTATTTTTCCATTTTATTGAACGCTTCTGTTAAATTTTAAAATCTTTGTCATAGTTCCCCCACCCACCAAAGAACTATTGTTAGCTTATTGCCCTTTCTACAGTCTCTCTCATGCTTTAAGGACCCAGCATCCATCTTTATTCTGAGCGTACTAGTTAGGGTTTTTCAGGATCTGTAGGTGATTTGCCCATTCCCAGGCTGTTCCTGGCAGATGCATACCTGTGTAGTTTTGCTCTGAAGGGGCATCTTCCTGCATTCTGTGGCGACCACATGCCTGACCTGGGGTCCCCTTCTCAGCATGACAACTGGCTGCCTGCAGTCATGGTCTGCTTCACTTCATGACTTTTCTTCTCATGTGTGGAGAAACTGCCTGCTTCAGAGAGCTGCCCCCAGGGGTTGAGAGGAGTGGCCAAAGGAGTTTAGCAAGGCCCACCCTTTTCCATTGGGTTCTGAGCACAGTCATACTTACATTACGCTTTTAGATAAAATTTACCTGTGATGAGACACACAGATCTTAAGTATACAGTTGGATATTTTGACAAGTGTATACACCTGTATAACCAGTTCCCCCAGTGAAGATGTAAAATTTCCTCATAATCCCCCAAGTTCCTTCCTTCCCCTTTGTAATCAATTCCTATCCTCTACCTCCTGAGGCCACCACTGTTGCCATTTCTTTCATTATGTTTTCCCTTTTTTTTTTTTGCCTTGAGGTATAGTTGATTTACAATATTATAATAGTTTCAGGTGTACAAGTGATGGTATTTTTATAGTTTATACCCCATTTAAAGTTATTAGAAAATATTGTCTATATTCCCTGTGCTGTACAATATATTCTTGTAGCTTATTTATTTTATGCATGGTAGTTCATACCTCTTAATCCCCTACCCCTATCTTGCCCCTTGCCACCTCCCACCAATTGTTTTCTATATCTGTGAGTCTGTTTCTGTTTTGTGATATTTACTCATTTTATTTTTTAGACTCCACAGATAAGTGATAACATATAATATTTGTCTGTCTGCATCTGACTTATTTCATTAAGCACAATACCCTCCAGGACCAACTATGTTGTTGCAAATGGCACCATTTCATTCTTTTTTATGGCTGAGTAATACTCCATTGTATATATTCCACATCTTCTTTATCCATTTATCTGTTGATGGACACTTAGGTTGCTTCCATTATCTTGGCTATTGTAAATAATGCTGCTGTGAACACTGAGGTGCATGTATCTTTTTAAATTAGCATTCTTGTTGTCTTCAGATGTGTACCCAGGAGTGGAATTGCTCGATCACATGATAGTTCTATTTATCATTTTTTAAGGAACCTCCATACTGTTTTCCATAGTGACTACATCAATGTACATTTCCACCAACAGTGTAGAAGGGTTCCCTTTTCTCCACATCCTTGCCAACATTCGTTATTTGTGGTTTTTTTTATGATCTTGTTAAAATTCTGTTCATCTGTTCTTTCCCCTAGTTCAGTTAGCATTTTTATTACAAATACTTTGAACTCTTTATCTGGTATATTATGTTACATTTTTTCAGGTTTTTTTAGTTTATGCTTTCATTTGAAACAAATTTATCTGTCTCTCATTTTGCTTCATTTTCTCTGTCTCTATGAAATTAGGTGAAACGCTTACCTATCCTGGTCTTGGGGGGGTCTGTCCTGTTGTGGGAGTGTCCCTGTGCAGTCTATGTGTGCCCAGTGGCTTTGGTGGGAGGGCTGGATTTGAAATGAGCATGGGTCACGTCTTCCCCCAGGGTATGCTGTCAGCTGTCTCCCTGGTGGGAGATGGGGCTGGAGAGCCTGGTGTGAGCTAGGTTTCCTCTTATGCCCAGTGGCTGATACCACCTTATCGGGGGCGAGGGAGGGGCCCAGGGTTCTAGGGCAGAAAACCTGAAGTTCGTGTTCCCTCTAAGTGTGTACTCTCCCTCCTCCCAGCATTGGTGCCTTCTCCCCAGAGGGGAAGAGTATTGAAGAATGAGGGGCCACAGTGGGCACCTGACATGGGCCAAGGCACACGCAGGAGCAGTGGTGGGAAACTGGCTAGAACCCTGGGAAGTTCCAGTCTGCTTCCTCGGCCTTGGTCCTGGGAGGAGTAAGCATGCATGTGTGCACTCTTCACAAGTGGAGCCTAGGTTTCTTACAGTCCTCTTGTTAGTCCCAGTAGTTTTTTAACGAGGTAAGGGGACTCGTCCTCCTGGTGTCAGAGCCCAGGGCTGGGTGCCCAGTATGTGGTTTGAACTGCTCACTCTGCAGGGAGGATCTCTGAACCTGTGTAATCCCCCTCCTCTTCTGTGTCCCCTCCCAGCAGTGCAGGTCTTGACCTGATTGCTTCTCTTCCCTTTCTACCCGACTCTGCGTGGAACTTTCTTTACAGCCTTGGTTGTATAAGAGTCTTTCTGCCAGTCTCCAGCTTGTTTTCCACGAGAGCTGCTGCACACGTAGATATGTTCATGGAAGAGCTCAGCATTCTCTGCCGTCTTCATTTCACTCCAGGCACTTCAGTCATGTTTTAGTTATGTCTTCAAATACTGAAAATTCAGGTTCTTTTCACACTGACTTTGAAAGTCTTATACTTTTTTGCTCAGTCTGGATTTTCTGGTAATGTTATGACACCAAGAGAGCAAGAACCACCTCCAGAGGTTTTAGCTGTTCTGTTCCAGTGCTCTTGCTTCAATTTCATCTTTGTGCAGAGACCCTGAAGAGTGATATGCCTGTCTTTCTCTGTTCTTGAATTGCATAGAAATGGAATCATATGGTATATCCTTTTGTGTCTGGCATCTTTCACTCAATATGATGTGAGATTCATCATATGAACCTTCTATTCGTCATATGAATCTTTTATTTTTGTCATTATCCATCATTGTGTTGTATCAGTAGCTTATTTTTATTGCTGAGTAGTATTCCATTTTATGAATGTAGCAGTTTATCACCTTTTAAGTATTTGGCCTTTTCTAGCTTTTTGGTTGTTAAGAACATTCTAGTACATAATTCCTCTTGGCCTGAATACCTAGGAGAGGAATTCTAGGCCATAGAGCAGGAGAATGTGCATTTTTGAGTCTTTCCCTATGATGTAACTCCCTCTAGTTGCTCCCACTTTCAGTAGGGTTGCCTCACCCTGACCAGCCTGCAGGGGGCAGTGTGGGCACTGCAAAGGGAGTAGTGGGCCTTAAGGGTAGAGGTGCTGTGGCTGAGACCAGCAGCAGGGCGTGGCCATCCCAAGTTTCACCAGATGCTGCCCCAGCTGCCCACCTTCCCACCTGAATGACAGGCAGCAGCCTCCTTCCAGCAGCACTCCCTTCTCAGCAGCAGTCAAGTGTGTGATCTTCTCCCTTTCTAAGCAGCCCCTGCACCTTCAAGGAATCCCCATGGCACTGAGGACAAAGGCCTAAGTTGTTATTATGGCTCCCAAGGCCCAGCCAACCCTGCCAGCCTGTCTCTCACATTGTCCCTGGCTGGGATGGGGCCTCCCCATTTGACCCACCGCCCCCCCCCACTCCTGCCACACACACACAGACCTCATCCCAGCTCCTTATGCATTTGTTTGGAACCTCGCTTTCCTCTCATGAGGATGACCCTTCTCCTGCAGGGATGGCAGGACTGTCCAGTGAGAGTGGGGCCCTGACTGAGACCTGCATGTGAGAACTGTGGCTCTAGGGCCCACCTGAGATTAGCTCAGGGTCAGGGTCTCCCTGGAGACCCTACAGGTCGAAGGCTGGCTGGCTATCCGTGAGGGAGCTGTCCCATCAGTTCCTCCTGTGCCCAGCCTGACTCCAGCTCTTGGAGACCTCAAGCCCTGACAACATGATCCCGCCCAAGTGCCCTTCAAATGAGGACCAACACTAAACTGCAAAGTAAGAGTAAGGAAGGCCAATGGCCTTATTTCTCTCACGGTTGCTACCTGGATGCTTTTTTAAAAAGTGAAACAAAAATACCGATGAGAACAAAATGCATCCTCTTGTTTTCCAGTCTCTCCTCTTCCTCCAGCCCCTTTGGCTGGTCAGCGTTGACAACTGGTGTCACCCACGCTTCTGGTTCCCCAAACTGTCCATGCCTGTGGGCACCTTCAGAGGCCCAGCTCCAGCCTCACCCTCTGCACCAAAACTTGTGGTTACTTTTGTTGAATGAACAAAATAACGTTTACATCAACTTTAAGCTTTACAATCCATTTAAGGAGAAATTTCTCTTCCAAGCAAAGGTGGTTGTTAAAATGGAAAAGAAGATCATTCTAGAGAGAAGACAAGTTAGACAGTGGAAATCTGTTTTGTTGTAAAATACACTGCCGTTTCCGATCGCGGGGACCCGGTCTCACTTCTTGCCTCCCTTGGCTGCTGGGGCTGCTGGTGCTGCTCCTTTATCCTTCCCCTTGTCTCCTTCCCCTGGTTTTCCCCCTTCCTTTGCCTTTTCACCCTCTTTTTCCTTTCCTGGAGGAATCAGCACATTCCTTCTGACCTTCTTGCCTTTGAAGTGTTTTCTTTGAAGACATACATCGATTAAAGCAAAAAGTCCAGCCACACCAATAAGGACCTGGAAAACAAAAGAACCCTCGAAACTGTTGCTTTTCATTCCAAAGCTGTCTTAGTTCCTTCCCGGCTCTGACTTGTCGATGGGTGCTGTTTAACCCCTTCCCCTGTCCCCTCAAGCTCCCGGACCCAGAGCGGCTCTGTGTTTGCTCCTCCCCTCCCCTTCAATGAGGAAGCCATTGGCTGGGCTGGCTCCCTAGACATCGTATCCATTCGAATGGCTTCTCCACTGGAAATACTGACCAACTTTACTTTTAAACTTTGCTTGGATCTTGGGATCCTTTTCCTTAAAACAGAGGAGGCTAACCATTCTCCAAAAGTGGTGATTTCTGAACAAATTAACAGCCCAACGTGAAAGACTCACCACAGCAATAACGTAGTGCAGTGGCATGGTTTGCCGACTTGTCACAGCAAAGTACACGGCCCACCCAAGGAAGCCGCAGGCAAACAGGTCGTTGAGAAGGTCCTGAAAGCGTGGGAGAGATAAGCCAGCATGAAAAGGAGCCGAGGCCCCACCAACACCGGACCTGGCCTAGCTTCCTCCAAAGGGAGTGGTTTTCAAACTTCTGCCTGATTCTAGAAACATGTACAGGAAGATGAGTATTTACTGGGCTAAGCAGACATGCCTCTGACCGCCCCCAGCTGGACTGAGTTGAGACACAAAGCCCAAGATGCTTAACTGCCTTTAGGGGCCACCCTGGCTACCATCTTATCTGTGAAACCACACATTTAGTGGCTATGTTGTTTCCCCCTTCCAGTGCTCACTTAAGTAACTATCCAACTTACTGATGTCCCTCTTGGGTACCACTTCACAGCCTCTTTATACTCTCAGGGCCAGCACTTCTTTCTGAATCCGGGGTGGCTGTGTTGCTGGCAGGAGCTCTGTTGGACTCTGGTCCAACATTGGGAGCCTAGCAGCTGCTTCTTTACCCCTAGCCCTCCCCCTTCCCCCACCTTACTTGTTAGACAACACCCCCCGCCACCGACCCCTGGCTTTGCAAGGCCTCACTACTTCTTTCATCATCAACCCTCCTTCTCACCCCTTGAGACCTCAGTCTTGCCCTTGCTCCAGATTTGTTTCCTCTGGTAAGGTCCAGATGTTCTCAGACTGGGCAAAAGGGCTGTCTCCCACGCTGCCTTCCCTCGAGTACCACCCACCGTTGCTCCCTGGCACAGCCAAACTTAACTCTGAGTTGGCCAAACCATGGCCACAGTAAGCCAGCTTCCTCCCCATCACTCCAGGGGTGATGCTGGCCCAGAGCTTGTACATCCTCTCAATCCTGTGGGCAGCAGCCGACCCTGCAGCGTTGGACAATGCCCACCTTTCCCCTTGGTTTCTCTGATGCCACTTTCTGCAGGTTGTCCTTCTCTGGTCACTTTGTCTCAGGCCTTCGCTTTTCCTTTTCAATGTTTTGAACTTTAATACATTTCAAACATATAGAAAATAATAGGCCGTCCCATCCCCACCCCTACCTCCATCAGTCATGAATCACTGAGATTAAACAGATGTTAACATCTTGCAATATTTGCCTGAGGACTCTACAAATAAAAAACGTAACAAAAAAAAAAACCCAAAACAAAAACAAAAACTACTTTTACCACTCCCTTCCGCTCTACACTTCGTACGTTAC